TATATATACATATATATATAAAGAGACACAGAGTGAGAGAAAGTGAGAAATCATCCCCCTCTCAGGGGGAAAAGCCATTTGTAATCCCTTCTCTTCCATTCTTCCCTTGGAATTTTAAGCATGCACACACATGTACCCGGCAGTCAGCCACATGGGATCAAGCATCTTAGCCACCATACCACCTGCTAGCTCTATTTGTAATTTTTTGAGGAAGCTCCATTAAGTTTTTATAATGATTACACCATTCCTACCAAAAGATACAAGAGTTTCCTTTTCTTCACACTCTCACAAACAGCTTTTTTTTTTTTTCTTTTTCATAATAGTCACTCTGGTTAGGGTGAGGTGATTTAGAATAGTTTTGATTTGCATTTCACTGGTGATTAGTAATACTGTGCATTTACAAATATACCTGCTAGCCATTTGTATATCTTTTTATTTCTGTTGAGTTGCATCATTTTCTGACATATTTTGGATATTTACCCCTTATCAGATATATGGTTTGAAACTATGTCCTGCCATTCTGTAAGTTGTCCCTTCATTTTCTTAATTGTTTCCTTTGCTATTCAGAGACTTCATAGTTTGAGGTAATCACACTTCTTCATTTTTGCTCTTTGTTTTTGGAGTTAGATTTTAAAAATTGCCCAGATCAATTTCAAGAATCTCTTTATTTTTAGTTCTCTTTTAGTAGTTTATTTAATTATTTTCAGATTAATTTCACATTTTACATAAATTCCTAATCATAATACATACAATTTATATTTTGCTTGACAGAGACCTTTACATTTTTCCATCTGTCAAATATTTCCTTCCCTTTCTTCTAGTATTTTGAAAGTTTCAAGTCTTACGTTACAATCTTTAATTGAGTTGATCTTTATACATAAATGTCCTTGTACGTGTGGTTATTCAGTTTATTGTATAGGTTATCCTTTCCCATTGTGAGTTCTTGGCACTTTGGTTAAAGAGAAATTGTCAGTCTATGTGAAGATTCATTCTGGACTCTCTGTTCTGTTCCACTGTCTATGTATGTGTTTTTATGCAATTATATAATATTTTGATTGTATTATTTTTGTAATAGAGTTTAAAATCAGAAAGTTTCATGTCTCCAGCTTCATTCTTTTTCAAGATAGCCTTGGTTATTTGTGGTCTTTAGGATTCCTTATTAAGTTTAAAATTGTTTTAACTATGTTTGTAAAGAATGACATTGGAAATTCCATAGGAATTACATTGAATTAGTAGATTGCTTTGGTAGATGGATATTTTAACAATATTCTTCCAATCCATGTACACACATATTTCCACTTATATATGTCTTCTTGAATTTCCTTCATCAATGTTTTATAATTTTGGGTGTACGAGTCTTCATCCTTAGGGCTAAATTTATTCCTAACTTTTTATTCTTCTCATTATTGATGTAAATTATTTTCTTAGTTTCCTTTCTGAAGAGTTTACTGTCTGTACATATAAGAGACATTGATGTCTGCATGTCAATTTTGTATCCTATAATTTTATTAAATCCAAACATTCAAAGGAGAATTATTATTGATCATTTCAAAATTCTTCCAAAAAAAAGTGGGGGACACTTCTAAACTCACTTTATAATGCCAGCATTGCCTTGAAACCAAATCCATACATAGAAAGCACAAAAAAAGAAACCTATAGGCCAATATCCCATTTTGATCACCATACACACAAATATCCTCAATAAAATACTAGCAAACTAAATTCAACAGTACAGTAAAAGAATTATACACTCATGACTAAGTGGTCTTTCTCCCTAGGATGCAAAAATGGTTCATCTTATGAAAACTAATGATATAATATTCCACACTAACTGAGTAAAACATAAAAACCACATGGTCTTCCCGATAGATGCAGAATCATTTACAATATTTGACATCCATTCACAATAAAAGCTCTCAACAAAATAGGCATAGAAGAAACTTACCTTGAAACATTAAAGGCCATAAGTGAAAATTCCATTGCTAACATTATAATCTGTGGGGGAAATCTAGAAACTTTTTCTTTAAGATCAGGAATGAGGCAAGGATGTCCATTCAGGCCAACATGGTACTGGAAACCTTAACCAGAGCAACTATACAAGAAAAAGAAACAAGAATGTATTCGAATCAAAAAGGAAGAAATAAAATTATCCCTGTTTTGCAGATGACATAATTATACGTAGAAAATCCTATAGGCTCAACTAAAAACCCATTAAAACTAACTGCAGAGTTCTAAGCCTGTAGCTCTAGTTTCTCCCAGTTCAGTTTTGAGGCAACTCCTCCCTTTAATTTGACCATCATTTATCATAACCACACTTAGATATTCATGTGTTTACTGAGAAATAATATATCCACCCTGGCCTTGGAAAATGATCTTTGTACTGACTGCATTTGTGAACTTTTAAAACTGAGCAGTTAGATTTTCACACTTATTCCTTTGTTTTTATTATTCCTTAATTTTGTCATCTACTTACCAAAGTGAATGAGTTTAAGGAGAAAAAATATCAGCTTTCATATCATATAAACAAAAAGAGAAAAGGCAAATATATGCTAAAATAATGTTTACTTTTTAAATTTATCCTTCAAGTTACCTTTTAAAACTTAAATTGATATATATTTACATTTTTATTCTTTGTGGGTAGTTATTACATATTCTGAGAGTAATCTAGTTTAGTGGTTTCAATCATTATGGGGGAAATAAAATCCATGATAGTTTGAATAGATAAAACTGAAAAAGGAAGTTCAAATTTATAACCTTTTCTTAAATTTTACAAGTTCTTGGTATTATTTAATTCTGTATCTAGTTATAAATCAAACATTTTAAATATGACAATGCCCATGGATAGAAATATTTAACGTTTGTTTTTGCTGAGTGAAATAATTTTATTAACCTGTCTTGGAATGTCCAAAATATTTTCGATTAAGAGCCTATTGCATTTCAGGCACTTTTTTAGCTGCCAGAGGTACAGATATGAAAAGAGCAATAGGGTTTCTAGTCTCATGAAAGGAAGAAATTTATTTCTGAAAGAAAGGAAAAAGAAAAGAAACAAGCATATTGATACAGGCCAAATACGTCCCCCTAAAATGTGTACATTAGGAGGTGGCGTCTATGTGAGGTGATCAGGCCATGGGGTGAAACCTTTTAAGTGGGACTAATGCCCTTATAAAAGAGGTCAAGAACAACCTTTTGTGACAAGATGGCCGTCTCTGAAAAACTAACTCTCCACAGACACCAAATCTTTTAATGTCTTGATCTCGGATTTTCATGCCTCTATAAGAAATAAGTTTCTGTTGTTTTAAAGACACTCAGTTTACAATATTCTGACATAGCAACTAGAACAAACTAAGACACATGTATAGGGTATGTCAGGAAGTAATAAGTTCAGGGAAGAGAATGGTTAAAGTGGGAATACTTTAGATAAGGCGGTTGGTGCACATCTCTTGAGAAGGTGACTTGGGAAATAGATGTCAATGAAGATGAAGAGTAAGTCCTATGAATATTTGAGAGAAGACCAACCCTCCAAATATATTTTATGCCTACTGGAGAACCCTAATCTAAACACCCAACTTGTGAAATAATGAACAGTAGAAAAGCAGACCTAACACTTTTATAAAGATCAAAACTAGCTTCCTGTTATGGCACGGCAAGTCATGGGACTCAAAAATCACATAGACATAAACACTCACTGCCATGGCTCTGTGCCAGGGAAAAGTACAAATCCTGAACAAGCAAATTACATACATGAATAAGAGCTAATACAATCGACAAGCTGTTAACAACAACAAATAAAAATTCCGTGTCATGAACTGTTATAAAAGACATTTTCTTCAGAACTTTGACTGAGTCCTGACTATCTGTAAAAGTGAAAACTTGCTGGGAGAAAATTTAGATAGTTAAACCTGAAACAATGAAAGGAAGTCTCACCCTGAATCCCAGCCCTGAGATGGAATGAACTCTGCTTCTGCACAGAAGGCAGTTAAGACAAAGCCACTCATTCCACTCATTTTGGCCTCTTATTTTAAGGGAAAGTGTGGTCAATCTAGCTCTTTACGAAATTACATACATGTTTGAAATTAGGGCTTATTGAAGTCAAATATTGGTAACTACTGCTCCACACTAAATCACATTCCAGAGACCTTTCTAACTATGAGTTACTGATTACTCAAAAGATTGAGGAAACCATACGACTGAATGCAATTTAGTGCCCTTACAGAGTGCAGTTTGGCTCTGCTCTCTCCACCTTCAGTGGTTCCTCAATTCTTGGAGCATCCAATCCAAGCCTGCAAAGCTCACAAAGACTTTAGAATTTTAACCCACTTACATCTCCTGAAAAGTTTCAAAGGAACTCTTTTCTGTATCAGTTCTCTGACTTCTCCATGAAAAACAAATCCCTGTAATCATCATAGCCCTTGCTACAAGTGAAAGTTACTGCATTTATCTCCTACTTGATTTTAAATAGATGCCTTCAGTGTAGAAACTTTTTTTTCCATCTGCGAACACCAACTGAAAATTTTCATGTAGTTAGACTCGGGTAATATTTGTGAAATAAAGAAGTAGCTTCAGAATTAGTATACTAAATAAAGAGATGTGTTAAAAATTCTAGGTAGAATTAATCGTACTTGAATAGAATATGAAATCCTGAATAGTCCCCCTTCACCCCTAATTTAATATATAATTTCAAACATTGAAAAGCAGTGTATTTCTCAGTCCTATGTAAATTTCACTCAGATTGCTGTGGCTGAGAGTAAGAGGTCTTCCTATGAGTATCAGTAGACGATCAGGAGACATCAAGAAAAAGAAAAAACCTTCTTATCCCCCAAACGATTTTGGAGGTGACTGAAAGGAGGGTACTTAGTAATTTAGCTGAGGAAATGACGAGAAGGAAATTATTCTGTGTCTCAGGAACCATGTGGAATTCCAAGATAAGAAAAACAGTTGCTAATTTGAGTATAAAAGCAGGAAACATGATACACTTATTTCCTTTTATGCAAACAGAAGTATATGAGGGGTTGTGTGAAATTATTTTTCTCTTGCCGAACCACAAAGACATAGAATCAAACTGCTGCTTTTGGACATATTGGCTTTTCTTTCTTTCTTTTATTCTTCTCTATCTTCTGTTTCTTGTGGATATTATGGCTAATAACACAACAAGTTTAGGGAGTCCATGGCCAGAAAACTTTTGGGGTAAGGTATTTTCTTTTATTGTTTTTAATTTAAAAGTAGGACGCAGAGAAATGTACTACATAATCGATGAAAACATTGGAAATCTGAGGCATTTTCTTTACTGTAAATTGATTAAAGTTTTCATAGATGTATTACAAGTAATGTATCTATATAAAATGGCTTTAAAGTAGACCATTCAACAAGAATCTGGGCAACAACTACAGATTTGTAGCTGTTATTACAAAATTTAATTAGAAAATAGTGAGAATAAAAGTGAGAAAAGAAAATTGAGCTAAAAATAATTGTTGTTTAGAGTATGACAATGTGGATTTAGCTGGAAAAATTCTTGTAAGAAAATTCTTAAGGTTGTAAATTATGTATTTTATTTAATAAAACTAAGATTGTTTTTATGCAGGTTATTTTAACTTCTGTTGTCAGTGGTCTATGCTTTACTTTCCAAAATGAATCTAAATAACAAGACAGTACTTAAATGAATGAATTTAGTGTTTAATGACATAGATACCTCATGTTAAGTGAAATAAACCAGACACAGAAAGAAGAATAACACATGTTCTCACTGATATGTGGACACTAAAGAGATGACCTCGTGGGAGTAGAGAGTAGAACGGTGATCACTAGAAGCTGCGGAGTGTAGGGAGAAGGGGCAGTTAGGGAGATGTTGGACAGATACAAAATCACAGTTAGACAGAAGAAGTTCTAGTGTTCCATGGCAAAGTAGGGTAACTATGTTTGATAGCAATTCACTGTGTTTCTCAGGTTAGCTGGTAAAAAGGATTTGGAATTTCCAATACAAAATAAAGACACAGGTGTGAGATGGTGAATATGCTAACTACCCTAGTCTGATCATTATACCTTGTGTTCTTGTACTGAAAAATCACATCATACCCTATAAATATGTCCAGTTTCTGCATATCAATGAAAATATGGAATGATATTCTGAAATTAAAAAAAAACTATAACAGAAAACATTAAGCGGAAATAACATCACCTGGAACATTGTGATGGAAGTCTACACAGGCAAAAAGTGCTTTTTGGCGGAATTCAGACACAGCTAACAAGGCCCCTGTGCTCTGGTGCTAAGAACAGCAAAGCAATACTGAGGAACCACCGCCAGGGGCGCCAAGCTAGAGGTCAGAGAAGAAGGGCTCAGACGTGACACGTCGTGAACTCCCAGGGGCAGAGAAATTTTAAAAATAAAAGAGCAATTTGAATTAAATCCAGAAAAAAATACTTTCAAAAGTGAAAATTAAGTTTACAAAGAAATCTGTATTCCTATTTCTGCATCCTGAACAAGTTTTTAATCCTCTCTGGGATCCATTGCAGTCTCCTGTGATTCAAGGGGAAGTTTGAGAAGCCAGCCATAGTGGCTGCCTCTCCCAGGCAATGTTGCCTATTTGTCTAATGTCAGGGAAATGTGCACGAAAAAATGTATTCGTTCCATTTTGAATCACCAACCCTTTATGTTTTTCTCTAGCATGAAAAGGAAGAATATTGGTGAACATATTGATAAAATCAAATAAATTAAGAAGAAAATAAATTGTGCTTGAATATTATATAGAATGGTTTGAGTGATTAGGTTATTCTAGGTAGGTACCAATAGACAATAAACTTCTGAATTTTGGGAGGCCTAATCATGTTTCTTACAATATTACTTGCTGTTTTCATTTATAGAGAAAGCAAATATGTTAAATATAGATTGAAAAACAGCTGTAAGGTGTGTCAGCTAAATCCATCATTACAAAAATGACTGCATAAATTACTCTAAAATAAGTTACATCCAGGACCAGCAGTTAGTGTAATAGCTATGTCGCTGGACTCCCATGTAGTCAACCACAGTTCGTGTCCTGGACCCAGGTGCATGTGCCTGCGTACCCAAGATCCCGAGAGGAGAATGGAGAAAGGATTGTGGCGTGGCCACCCTCCCTGGGGGGAGATTTCTCGCTTTCTGTCTCTCTGTCTCTCTCTGTCTGGCGAGTGCACACGCCCTATAGCAAAAACCTCTCCAAAAAAAAAAAGTTATATCACAAAAATTAAAATGTCAAAGCAATGCCTATTTTTTTTAAACCATTCAAAGTTAAATTTCAGGTTCATATAAGTAAATCATTACCCACTGACTCAAAAAACATGAATAATTATCATTAATATAATCTGAAATTGATGAGAATGTTTCAGAAGTTCATCTATTGATTCTAAAAATTAGATATTTTTAATATGGAAGTCTATGTTTAAGGGGACAAACTTATTCCAAAGAGATCTTACCGTTTCTTTCTATTAGCATGTGAATATAATAAAGATTAGGTTGAAATAATGACATCCAGGAAGAGGAGTGTCCCTTTGATAAGTATAAACAAAACCAGTGCAAGTCTGGTGAGCAGATATTTGATGCTTGATGATTTGGGGAAAATATGAAAAATTGCAGCTGCATTTTTTAAAAAATATGAAGTATAAAGTGCAAGTTAGATGTGAATATGTAAAATGTAAACTTTTCCTGAAATGAAGATGTCAATCTTTTACATTTTTTTGTAATATCTCAGTTGATATCTGTTTTGATCACTGACTTCCTAAAATACTATTTTTGAAAATCTTGTACTTTGCAGTACTATATGTTGCTACCAAGTTATGTTGTCTCCTTGGCACTTTGAATTTAGAGAATAAACAAAAAATAGATGAGAAAAGCAAAATGTGTGTAGTACATCAAACCTTAACAATTTCCCAGATGTAACTCACCTGAAGTTCAGAAAAAGTTGATTTCCAGATAAAGCTCTCCTGATCTGCTTTAGTGAAGGCTAAAAAAATAAGAGAATGGTGCCAGGTTATTGTCAAAGAAGATAGCTTGCATCTTCATAGTCATCACCTACTAAAATTGAATTAATGTGCCAGCATTAAAGCAGTTAATGCAAGGTTCAGCAACATTTGCCTGAGGGTGAGACATAGACATCGACTACCACTGGACTCCCTACCTTTGCTTTTGTTCATGCCCTCCCTTTCTGTGTAAACATTCCCCACAAAACAGCAGGAAACATGACCCGGGAATGTTTACTGCACCCTGCCCTAATGCACCAGCAGACTACTATCACTGAACTCCATTATTCTTGTAGTACTGGAAAGTCCTACGGAAAGCCTGAATTTGGTTGTATCTGTTCTCTCATTTTGCAATTTTTGTTTCTCTTTTGGCTGTCATTGTGAATAGTTAGAGGAAGATATTGGTCTAGGAGCTTACGTTTATTCACCTAATTTAATCTTCACTAAGAATACTGTGTCAATCTCAAAAGGATTATATTCTTGGAGGTGATTATGTGTCTGCACATATACAAACATAAGCCTATATTATTGAATAATACAAAGGAATATATGATTAAATGATGATGCTTGATAACGTGTTATAGGAGTTAAACATGTATGTATGGTTGAAATAGTTCCTACATTCTTCTTAGAAAAAAAATTGGGTATTCTCTGTCCCAGAAAGTCAGATAAGTTCCAAAGAGGGAGATAATTCTAAGGACACTGTAGTCATTCATTTCTTACCTATTAACTCCTTCTCATTCAGTTCCTTAGTTCACTCAGAAAGTATTGGCTGGCCATGTTAGGCAATGTGTTAGGAGTTAGTGACATAAACAAGGCATCATTTGAAAATTTTAAGGAGCTTGGAAGAAATGTTATCAGCAAATATGCAGAAGTAAAAACAGATGAATTTGGGGAGAAGTGGATGGCTTGACTTAGCAAAATTGTACATGGAAGTGACAGGGACATGGTTGGAAAGGAGGCTGGAGGCAGATTTCTGTAAGATTTTGAATGTCAGTATAAACAAAGTAAGGATTGCTGCTGCTTCTCACGGTCAATAACATAAGTTAGAAGCTGGAGACGGAGTTTATCCTGTAACTAGTTACGGGCAGATAGTCAATAAGCACCATCAAACTCTCAAAAAATTCAGCACGTTCTTAGTATTCATCGTTAAAAGTTATAGCACATGCAAATCATTTCTCATTACCATCAATCAATCAAAATCAATTGCTTTCCTTTGAGCAATTATCCTGATTCCTGTTTTTCTTCAAATACCCATTCCTGGTTTCTCATCTGATCATTCTTCAGATACCCCTATGACTTGGGACTTGGTCAGATTGTTTTCATCAGAGATCTTTCTTAATATCAAAATGGCTGCAGTCCTGCTAACCATCAAACGGGCCCACTTCAGTTCGACCTAATTTAACTTAATCATTTGCAAGACTCCCTACTTGAGAGCACATGGGAAGGTCCTGGGTTTGCATCCTAAGATGTCCCTGTACACACCTGGCACATATGGATGCCCATGACCTTGACTGGCTGTGGCTGGAGTAGGATCATGGCACAAAGAATCTGTTGGAGTCTCTGTCTTTCATGGAAGAAATAAATACACTTAATAAAACACAGAGAAATCCTTAAAGTTGCTGCACCTGAATACCTGGAGAGAACTATAAGAACTCAATCTCTCACTGGGATCCACAGAGATTATAATTCAGTAGGTAGGTGGTGGAGCCTACAAAGCTGTCCTTTTCAAATCAATTCCTGACTCAGAACTTATGCATCTAAATTCATGAGAGAAACTGGATATAATTGCCTTTTCTTGAATAGCCTTTTTAGGTTTTGGTATTAATGTCATGCAAGCTTCATAAGTATGTTGAAAAGTGGTCTCCATTTTTCTATTATCTAGAAACATTGGTGTAAGATTGGCATGGTTTATTTTTTAAATGTTAGAAAAAAATTCATCACAGTAATGATATGTAGTTTTTGTTATTATTTTATTATTTTTTTTTAGTTTTGCTGTAGGGTGCATGTGCTCACCAGAGGCAGTGAGAGAGAGAGAGAGAGAGGACGGAAAGTGAGAAATCATCCTCCAGTGGGGATACCCATGCTGCAATCCCTTTTCCTCCCTCTTCCTCTTGGGATTTTGAACACACACACATATTCCCTAGTGTGATTTTCAAACCGCCAAGTTGCTGACTCAAACCATGCAGTCAGCCATG